AGATGAAGGTGCTTCAATATTGCAAAATACTTGGGCAGGAAGAAAATTAAGTTATCTAAAGAGGGAAGTTTTTAAATGCCAGATTATGCTTTCATGAGAAGAAAAGAAGGGAGCAATGGATCAAAGTGTTGATGTGCTGGATCAGAATTAGATGGGAAGATAGGCAAGGCAATGATGGAGAAAAGACCTTAAGTAAGCCTTCAACAGGAATAAAAAGCAAGCTATAAAGCAAAGTTCTTAAACCATGTATTAAGTTTAAATAAGGAAAATAAGGAATGAGATTTTTAAGGTAAAGAAAGGAGCTGTTTACATACTGAATGAGGTTTCTATTACGTCTGAAGAAGATTCAAATTGAGATGACGTTTCAAAGAGAAGGAAAAGGAGTGTGTTGTTGGAGAAGGTGTTTATCTACTGCACGAGGCTTCTGTGAAAAGGTGGGTAAGAGATGTGAAGGAAAGAGTATAGAATCTGGACAAGCCTTCAATGGAAAAACAAAAAGGTTGCTGTTGAGGAAAGAGTATAATTACTGGATGAGACTTTACTGGGAAGATAGGTAAGGGACTTTTGGTGAAAGATGGAATCTGAATAAGTATTCAATAGGAAACTACAGTAGAAATTGTTTAAATTCTGGATTTGGGTTTAATGATAAGAAAAAGAAGGGTTCTGTAGGTGAAAGTGTTTAAGTACTGGGTAAGACTGATTGGAAGATAGATAAGGAAATGTAGAGGAAAGACTCTAGAATCAAGATAAACTTTCAATGTGAAGGAAAGGGAAGCTTTCGGGGAAAGTATTGAAATTCTGGATTAGGCTTCAATGAAAAGGAGAGGTGTGGCTTCTTTAGCTAAGGGAGGAGTTTAAACACTAAATGCGATTTCTATGGGAAGATGGAGAAAACAGCATGAAATCGATGTGAAGCTTCAATGGGAAGGAAAAGCTATAAATGATGATTTTAAAACACTGGGTGAGGCTACTATGGTAATGGGGGAGGGAAGAAGCAGTTTAAAATCTGGATGAGGTTTCTATGGAAATGGAAAGAAGGGACATTTGGGAATATTTAATAGTAAGATACAGTAGGGAGCAATGGAGGAATGTTTTTAAAATCTGAATGTTGGAAGTATTTTAAGAATGCAATATATCGCCATTTACAGTTTGAAAACCATTCTGTTATTACAGGAACATGCAACCCATTGAACATAACTTGATTTGTCTCAAAAATGTTGTGCGCTATAATAGAAGTGCATTGTGATAAGTAAATAATTGCTCCCACAGAACAAAGTATTAATAGTAACTAAGGACAATTATTTTATCTTCTCTAGTGTTCCATAGTGACAAGAAGATCCAAATTCCCATTCATATAACAAGCACTGAGAAAAGGAAACCAACAGTCCTTTTGAAGAATTAGTTGCAAAAATCATATAAAACTATCACATAAAAGAAAAATGGGAAGCACCTGAAAAAGCCAACATGGCCACATAGCAAACTGAAGGGAAAAAAAATGAAAACTTTATAGTGACAGCAACAGAAAATGCTGTTTAATAGTAAGCAAAAAAGCTTTTACCACCCAGTTCACTACTAAATGAACCACTGAGTTCTGATGTGACTTATGCAACTGACTCAGATCCAACACAAACTGCTTTTAAATAAAAAGCTCTATCCAAAGGAACCGAAAATTAAGCCGTAAGGTTCTTAGATCATCTAAATACCAGTCACCAACATTTAATATAGCTACTGACCAAACTAGGGTGTTAAAACTCATACCAATACAACTGACCACTTATCCAGATGTATCTGGCTTACCTAGATACATTTATCTACTTCTCAGCATTAAGGAGCCACTACAGTATGCATTGGATTAGTAATAAATAAAACTCATCTAACTCTTAGGAAAAAAGTAATCTCAAACTCCTGCTGCAAGAACTTTATACAATCTTCCGCTTGCCCTAAAAAAGTACTAAAAGTAGGATGGAAAACAAAAAGGCCAGCCTGGTGTAGCAGTGCAACCAAGGTCCAAAACCCCACTTGACCATGGGGACAAATCAAAAGTCTCAAAGGAAGACAAGGAGCCCTTCCAGACAAGCCCTATATCCCAGGATCTCATTCCATGTTTTCTGCTTTACACTGGATTATATGAGTCTGCACTGCCAGATAACCTGGGATAAACAGAAAACCTGGGATATAATAATAATAATTTTGTGACTCAAGGCAGCTTACAGAAAACTAATAAACATGGTAAAAATACCACGATACATATATTAAACCATATTTCTATAAAATGCATATTAAAATTCACAAAATATAGATTAAAATTAATGTTTTAAAACCATCTTCTGGAAGAAATAGGTCTTTAGATGGTTTTTAAATTCAGACATTTGGGAGATGGATCCAAGTTGCGAACACAATCTTTCAGGGCCTTTCCAGAAGGGCCCAAAGGCAAAAAAAAGCCAAAACAAAACAACCCTGAACACATCTTTCCATGAAAATTCTGAGTTAGTTGGGTTGCTGTGAGTTTTCCGGGCTGTATGCCAATGTATGCCAATACAACAGCCAGCAAAGTGTCTGCTGTGGACTCATCTTGTTGTGTTTCAAATAATAATAATAATAGTTACAGAGTATGAGCATGTCAAACTCCTCTGTGACTTCAGAACTCAGACAGAGTTTTGGAGCATAATACTCCTGACCTCACAATCTTGTTAAAAAACGAAGTATGGATTGTCAATGTTGCAATCCCAGGTGACAGCAGGATTAAAGAGAAACAACTAGAAAAGCTGACTCGATATGAGGATTTAAAAATCGAACTGCAAAGACTCTGGCACAAACCAGTAAAGGTGGTCCCAGTGGTGTTCGGCACACTGGGTGCAGTGCCTAAAGACCTTGGCCTGCACTTAAACACAATCAGCACTGACAAAATTACCAGCTGCCAGCTGCAGAAGGCCACCTTACTGGGATCTGTACGCATTATTCGCCTATACATCACACAGTCCTAGACACTTGGGAAGTGTCTGACATGTGATCCAATACAACAGTCAGCAGAGTGTCTGCCGTGGACTCATCTTGTTGTGTTTCACATAATAACAACTACTTTATTTTTGTACCCCACCTCCATCTCCCCGAAGGGACTCGGGCCAATTTACATGGGGCTAAGCCTTCTCACTTCAGGAATCGAGGCCATACAGCCCAGAAAACTCATAGCAACCCAGTGATTCTGGCCATGAAAGCTTTTGACAACACAACCTGAGATAGGTTCACCTAAGGCAGTGGTTCTCAACCTGTGGGTCCCCAGATTCTTTGGCCTTCAACTCCCAGAAATCCGAACAGTTGGTAAACAGGCTGGGATTTCTGGGGGTTGTAGGCCAAAACACCTGGGGACCCACAGGTTGAGAACCACTGACCTGATTCTAAGGCAGTGGTTCTCAACCTGTGTGTCCCCAGGTGTTTTAGCCTACAGCTCCCTGAAATCCCAGCCAGTTTACCAGCTGTTAGGATTTCTGGGGGTTATATTAATTGTATTGTTTTTGCTTACTGTTTTTTCTCCTATTGATGTGTTATCAGGCTTGGCCTCATACAAGCCGCTCCGAGTCCCCTTGGGGAGATGGTGGCGGGGTATAAATAAAGTTTTTTTATTATTATTATTATTATTATTAAGACCAAAACATCTGGAGATCACGGAGCCCCCGGTGGCGCAGTGTGTTAAACCCCTGTGCCGGCAGGATTGAAGACCGACAGGTCGCAGGTTGGAATCTGGGGAGAGGCAGATGAGCTCCTTCTATCAGCTCCAGCTCCTAATACGGGAACATGAGAGAAGCCTCCCACAAGGAGATAAAAACATCAAAAATCATCTGTGCGTTCCCTGGGCAACACCCTTGCAGACGGCCAATTCTTTCGCAACAGGAGCGACTCCTGACACGACAAAAATAAAAATAAAAATCTGGAGATCCACGGGTTGAGAACCACTGACATAAGGGTTTTTTATTGTTGTTGTGTCAGGAGCAACCTGAGAAACTGCAAGTCGCTTCTGGTGTGAGAGCATTGGCCGTCTGCAAGGACGTTGCCCAGGGGACGCTCGGATGATTTGATGTTTTATCATCCTTGTGGGAGGCTTCTCTCATGTAGTAGACAGGAAAGAGGGTGTATGGCATAGAGTAGTATAATACTTCTCATATAGGTATTCTATTTATCCACTTTTCACAAAGTATACTCATAACATATTAAGTAGTATAACTCATATAATTTTACTCCAAACTTGCTAAGATTCTCAAGTATAACTAAGGCTTCCAACTAGGTTAATAATGCATCCTTAACATAAAGTTGTACATATAGGTAACACTTATTCTAGTAGTACAATAGTAGTAGTATAGGTTCTGTAATACAACCAAAGTTCAAAAACAGTCTTATTGCCGTCTTGAATCTGTTCTTAAGTCTTCATGGAGTCAACAGACAAATAAATGCACATATAAATGTTCAAATTCTTCATGCAAGTGAAGTTGACGTGGATTTACTCTTGGGTAAGTCCTTTGCCACAAAATTATAGTTTCAGTCCTTTATAATAGTTGTAGTTCCTAGATGTCAAGACGGTCAAGTAACCTGTAGTGCTGGGTGAGTACGGCTGGTTTCCCGGGTACAGGCCAGTTTCGATCCTTCCTCAGGTAATTGGCTCTGCTTTCTTATCTTTTTATGCTCTTGCAGGATTTTTACATGTAGAGTTCTTTTTTCAATAGCTCACTCATCCACCTCTCCCGGGATTCGAACCTGTGACCTGTCGGTCTTCAGTCCTGCCGCCACTGCGCAACCGGGGGGGGGGAGTGGTTCTCAACTGTGGGTCCCCAGGTGTTTTGGCCTACAACTCCCAGAAATCCCAGCCAGTTTACCAGCTGTTAGGATTTCTGGAAGTTGAAGGCCAAAACATCTGGTTGAGAACCACTGACCTAAGGGGTCACTATGAACTGAAAAGACTTGAAGCAGATATCAACAACAACTGAAGTCATATGAAAACCAGGACTTACCTTGAGGCGCTTGACCACTTCATCGTTGGTAATTTTGTCCGTGATCTCTTTGACTCCCGGAGGATAGAAGATGATCTTGCCATCGGCTGGAGGCTTTGGTTGGGCGGGTGGGAACTCCATCCTGGCGCTGCCGGTGAGGAAGTTCTCCTCGCCACAGTCCTCTACCGGCCCCTATCGGTCAGAAAACAAAAGTTCAGCAGGAGAGGAGCGACTTTCCAAACCTTGCCTCCCTTCCCCCCCAGATTTCCAACCCACGATTGGGAAAAAAAGAAAAGAAAGAAGCAGGGAGGCCCAGCGGCGAGACCCGAGGCCTCCCTCCCTCCCTCCCTCCCGCCTCGGCTAGGCCCACACGTCGAGGCCATGAGTTTGGCAGTCCAATCAATCACAATGAATCCCCTCCCCCGAAAATTAGAAAATAAGAGAGGGGGGCCTTCTTGCTTCCTCTCAGGAAAGATGCGGAAAGGAGAGGCGGGGAAGCCGAGCCGGCCTTCTTCCCAAGCCACTCTTGCTTGCTGGATTGATTGCCTGGAGCGGGCGGCGAGGCCTAAACTGCTAGGCCTCAAAACTATGAGCAGTCCCAGAAACCCTCAGGAGGAGGAGGAGGAAGGGGCGAAAGAAGGGGGATTCTGAGGGAGGCTGGGAAGGCCCTCCCTCCACTTGGCGGGGCTTTCCCTCAACTTCCACCTCAGGACCCTTCCTCCTCCTTTTCCCCCTCAAGTTAATTCTTGAGGGGGAAATATTTCTGTTTCCCTCACAAAATCCGCCACGATGGCGAAGGAAGGGGGGAGGGGGGAAATAGGGACCACTTCCGACCCCCCCTCCCCTTTCTCTCCCCCTGCCTTCCCACCTCCTGCAGCTCCGGAAGGTGCAGCATTGAGCGGCCTGCGGTGGCGCCTCTCAAGAAGGACGCGGCGGCGGTGGCGGCGGGGGTGGCGAGGGCTCCCTTGCACCCTGGCGAGTCCTCCCTTCCTTCTTCCCCCGTGGCTGGCTGCCTCCCTCCCACCCTCGGCTGCTCGTGTGCGCCTCTCGGCGGGGAAACAGCGCCACCTCTCGGCCGGCCGGGGAACCTCAGCAAAAGGCGAGTCTTCCGGGAGCCGCCTCCGCCCTTTTTAAAAAGGCCCGCCCCGGCGCATTCTGGGAACGGAGGCTTTTAAAGGCCCAGGCGGGCTGGTTGAGCTGCTCTCTGAGGACGCTGCTGTTGCCGGTTGGGCGCCCCTTGCTTGGCACCAAGATGAAGGGAAGCCACAGTAACAAACAAATCTTTGGGTTTTCTGTGAGTTTTCCAGGCTGCATGGCTATGTCCCAGTAGCATTCTCTCCTGACGTTTCACCCAATCTATGGCAGGCATCCTCAGAGGTTGTGAGGTTTGTTGGAAACTAGGTAAGTGAGGTTTTACGAGGGGTTGTTGTTGTTCATTCCTTCAGTCGTCTCCGACTCTTCGTGACCTCATGGACCAGCCCACGCCAGAGCTCCCTGTCGGCCGTCACCACCCCCAGCTCCTTCAAGGTCAATCCAGTCACTTCAAGGATGCCATCCATCCATCTTGCCCTTGGTCGGCCCCTCTTCCTTTTGCCTTCCACTTTCCCCAGCATAATTGTCTTCCCCATATATTCTGAATTCATAGACAGTGGCCAGTCTTTATTTTTGTTGTTGCTCATTCCTTCAGTCGTTTCCGACTCTTCGTGACCTCATGGACCAGCCCACGCCAGCGCTCCCTGTCGGCCGTCACCACCCCCAGCTCCTTCAAGGTCAGTCCAGTCACTTCAAGGATGCCATCCATCCATCTTGCCCTTGGTCGGCCCCTCTTCCTTTTTCCTTCCACTTTCCCCAGCATCATTCTCTTCTCTAGGCTTTGCTGTCTCCTCATGATGTGGCCAAAGTACTTCAGCTTTGTCTCTAGTATCCTTCCCTCCAATGAGCTTGTTGTTGTTCATTTGTTCAGTTGTCTCCGACTCTTCGTGACCTCATGGACCAGCCCACGCCAGAGCTCCCTGTCGGCCGTCACCACCCCCAGCTCCTTCAAGGTCAGTCCAGTCACTTCAAGGATGCCCTCCATCCATTTTGTTCTTGGTCCACCTCTCTTCTTTTTTCCTTCCATTTTCCTCAGCATTATTGTCTTCTCCAAGCTTTCCTGTCTTCTCATTATGCGGCCTTAATTTTTGCCTCTAATATCCTTCCCTGTAATGATTGTTGTTGTTTATTCGTTCAGTCACTTCCGACTCTTCATGACCTCATGGACCAGCCCACGCCAGAGCTCCCCCTCGGCCGTCACCACCCCCAACTCCTTCAAGGTCAAGTCAGTAACTTCAAGGATACCATCCATCCATTTTGCCCTTGGTCGGCCCATCTTCCTTCTCTTTATTTCCTGGAGGATGGACTGGTTGGATCTTCTCGCAGTCCAAGGCACTCTCAGCACTTCCCTCCAGCACCACAGTTCAAGAAGCCCCGCACATCGCATGATTTGTTCTGCATACAAGTTAAAAAGGTTGGGTGAGAGTATGCAGCCTTGCCGTACGCCTTTCCCAATCTTGAACCAGTCTGTTGTTCCATGGTCAGTTCTTACTGTTGCTACTTGGTCCTTGTACAGATTCCTCAGGAGAGAGACAAGGTGGCTTGGTATCCCCATACCAAGAACTTGCCACAATTTATTATGATCCACACAGTCAAAGGCTTTAGAATAGTCAATGAAACAGAAATAGATGTTTTTCTGAAACTTCCTGCCTTTCTCCATTATCCAGCGGATATTGGCAATCTGGTCTCTCGTTCCTCTGCCTTTTCTAAACCCAGCTTGAACATCTGGCAACTCTCGCTCCATGTATTGCTGGAGTCTTCCTTGCAGGATCTTGAGCATTTCCTTACTGGCATGAGAAATAAGGGCCACTGTACGGAAGTTTGAGCAGTCTTTCGCATTTCCCTTTTTTGGTATGGGGATATAAGTTGATTTTTCCCCAGTCTGATGGCCATTCTTGTGTTTTCCATATTTGCTGGCATATGGCATGCATCACCTTGACAGCATCATCTTTTAAGATTTTAAACAGTTCTGGCCCAGTCTATCTGAACGCATCTCTCCCTACGAACCCCCCAGGAACCTAAGATCGTCTGGGGAGGCCCTGCTCTCGATCCCGCCTGCTTCACAGGCATGTCTGGCGGGGACGAGAAACAGGGCCTTCTCTGTGGTGCCCCCCCGGCTGTGGAACTTCCCTCCCCAGGGGTATTAGATCAGCCCCCTCCCTCCTGACTTTCCGAAAAAGAGTAAAAACTTGGCTCTTCGAGCAAGCATTCGGAACCCCGGAGTAAACAGACAAACTAGAGTTGGAAATTGACCCAGGAACGGCCAAGACAATGTAAATGGATCAAGATTTGAACAGAGGACATAGTTTCTTTTTAAATTGTTATTATACACTGTCGTTTATGTTTAATTGCACTGAATGTTTTTGCTTTATCAATGTATGTATTTTGTTTCGGCATCAAATTGTGCCGACTGTGTATACCGCCCTGAGTCGCCTTCAGGCTGAAATGGGCGGGATAGAAATAATATTAATAAATAAATGTCCCAGTAGCATTCTCTCCTGACGTTTCACCCAATCTATGGCAGGCATCTTCAGAGGTTGTGAGGTTTGTTGGAAACTAGGTAAGTGAGGTTTTATATATCTGTGGAGTGTCCAGGGTGGGAGAAAGGACTCTTGTCTGTTTGAGGCAAGTGTAAATAATAATAATAGTAATAATAATAATTATTAGAATCATAGAATTAAAGAGTTGGAAGAGACCTCATGGGCCATCCAGTGTTAGAGGACGGAAACGAGGCACCCAGGTGTTAGATAAGGAGCAGCAAAGGAAGAGAATTTGGGAGATACTTATGTCACCCACTGATGAAGAATCCTTTGAAGGTTTCTCCGAGAGTGAAATGAGTGAGGAGGAGGAAGGAGATACAGATGGGAATAGAGGCATTAAGAGGGTTACTTGAGAGCAAGGAGCGTCAGAGAAAGAAGATCCGGGACTGAGGAAGAGGATTTCATGGGCTTTTCTGGGAATGATGGGTCTGGAGGTAGTGGGGATGAAGAGGAACCACTGGATTGGACCAAGGTTCAGGAGATTCGGAATGTATGTACTCAACCAACATCCAGTGACACTTTTGAGGGATTTTCTGGTGGCAGGGACTGGCAATCTGGTGGTACCATGGAATCGTGGGGAGACCTAAGTCTTGACAAAAGGTGGAAGAGTTGGAGGGATGGGCGTTGGCGTTCAGCTGTAGAGGCTAAGTCAGCAGATAGTGATGAGGATGGGGTGGAGAGCAGCTCATCATCGGATGATGAGCCATAAGATAAATGAAGGCACTGGAGCAATAGAACTTTGCAGTAGGCAAAGTGTTGGTTTCGTGCCTTGGGTCTTGTCGCTGCTGCTTTTCTTGTTGTGCTTGGGTCCTGGATCTGCAGGTTGCTGCTTTCTTCGTTTACTGACCAGCTTGGATTCTCGTAAGTGCGGATTTCCCCTCTCCTTGACTTCGGACTGTTTCTTACGATGACGCTGCCTTTTGGACTTTGAACCCTTCAACTGGGATTTCTTCGACTTTGGACTGCTTCTGGGTGACGGCTTCTCTTCATGGCTCTTTGTTTGCTTATTATCTTTGAACTGTGTGATTTTGGTGTGTTTTGGAAGAACTCTTATTTAATCTGGATTTTTTGCCAGTTTAATCCGGTTTGCTTTTCAAGCTGCAAACTTTGAGTTTTGACCAGAGGCACTGAAGCAAGTGTCTCTGAGTCCTGTTTACTTTGCTTTAATAAACTATTGTTTTGGATAAACTTCTGTGTCTGGCATTTTAAGGCATCTGGGTTCCAACACCCCCCCCCCCCCCCCGCTACAGGCCTGGTTGGCATACTATTGGTCGGTGCTGAGTGTTTGGAATTTGTGGTCCCACTGATTTAGTGCATTCCTGTACAATGCTGTCACTCACAAATAAGAGGTCTGGGTTATATCCTCGGTGCCATCTCTCGCTGTTGTAGATGGTGGGAGCTTACTATTATGAATGAGTGATAGTTTGTTGAGTTCAGACCAAGAGAGGACAGCCTCTCCATTTTTGTCCTCTTGAATATAGCCCCATACATGGCTATTGCTTTTAAAGTCACCAATTACTTTGGTGCCTGTCAAAGTTCTCGGGGGAGGAGAAACAAAACTCTTCATTTGGGGGCTTATTCACAGAAGTGATGGTGATGTTATTAAGCTCTACTGATATAACCTCTATATTGTTTTCTTCAGTGTTGTGGGCACTGCTGATTTCGAGGCCTGGTTTTACAAAGACAGCGCTTCCATACTGCACATGTGGTTTTCCCGCTACTAAGATCATTCCAATCTACACCACTGGAGAAATTACACTGTTTAGCCAGCATTGCACCACATGACATCCGCCGGGAAGTAGCAACCAATAGTGAAATGACCAAGACAGTGACATCTCCAGCTCATCCCCTGTTTGGGTATCAGCCAGCACGTCAACAACTTAAATATAGAAATAGTTTTCTAAGATCTACAGAGACACTCGTTGGAACACCTCAGCAAGCAAAAGTCCAAAAGTGGCAGGCTCAAACCCAGAATCTCAATCAATGGCTGTTACCAAATGAGAGACTTCCTTCTGGGAACACAGAAAACTGGGCGACTTGGAAGGCACCGAACAGACTGCGCTCTGTTGGCTCTGCATCTCAGACCGCGAGATGCAGAGCCAACCTTAAGAAATGGGGCTACAAAGTGGAATCCACGACATGCGAGTGTGGAGAAGAGCAAACTACAGACTATCTGCTGCAATGCAACCTGAGCCCTGTTACATGCACAATGGAGGACCTTCTAACAGTAACACCAGAGGCACTCCCAAGTGGCCAGATACTGGTCAAAGGACATTTAATCAACTACCAAGCTTGCAAATTTTGTGTTTTGTATGTTTGTTTGTTTGTTTAAAAATGCAATACAACTGTTTGGTTTGCTCCTGACACAATAAATAAATAAATAAATCTCCCCAATGGGGACTCGGGGCGACTAACATGAGGCCAAGCCCAAGAATATGATACAACACAATAAAATACAGAATACTGAAACAAAATCATATCGGAAAATAATTACAATAGCAAAGTAAAATAATAAAGCAAATTCACACAAAATAAAATCGAACAGGATGGGCAGGTCAAATGGACAAGATGAATTAAAAAATAATAAAACCCCGGGTGAGGTAGGAATAAAGTGAGGGGAATCCAAGAATGATAAAAAACAGTGTGGCAAGGCTGTCGCAGTTGGCCAGCTTGATTAGCTTTGAATAGCCTTGCAGCTTCAAAGCCTGGCTGTTGCTGCCTGGGGGAATCCCTTGTTTATTTGTTTATTAATTTTAAGCATTTATATTCCGTCCTTCTCACCCCACAGGGGACTCAGGGCGGAACACAACATATATATGGCAAACATTAACTGCCGGGACATAAAATCATAAATATATACCAGGGGTCCTCAAACTTTTTAAACAGAGGGCCAGGTCACAGTCCCTCAAACTGTTGGAGGGCCGGATTATAATTTGAAAAAATAATAATAAATGAATTCCTATGCTCACTGCACATATCTTATTTGCAGTGCAAAAAACCCCACTTAAAAACAATACAATAATTAAAATGAAGAACAATTTTAACAAATTTAAACTTACTAGTATTTCAATGGGAAGTGTGGGCCTGCTTTTGGTTGATGAGATAGGATTGTTGTTGTTGTGTGCTTTCAAGACATTTCAGATTTAGGTTGACCCTGAGTGAGGGCGGGTAAATGACCTTGGAGGGCTGTATCCAGACCTCTGGCCTTAGTTTGGGGATCCCTGATATATACAAACATTAAAAATGTACTTATATCCACTTTAAAATCAGTAGCTTAAAAACAATCTCAGAACACCATTCTATTATTGCCTCATTGCACTGCCCCAAAAGCTTGGTCCCACAGCCAGGTCTTCACCATCCTTCTGAAAGACAGGAAGGAAGGGGCTGATCTAATATTGCCAGGAAGGGAGTTCCATAAATTAAATCTATATATATATATAAATGCTCTGTGCATAATGAGTACCTTAAAAACAAAAGAACCAATGAACGATATCACACCAAATTTGGCAACAAAACGTCTCATAGCACAACGAGTGACCATCACTCAAAAATTATGATTTTGTCATTTGGGAGTTGTAGTTGCTGGGATTTATAGTTCACCTATAATCAAAGAGAATTCTGAACTCCATCAACGATGGAATTGAACCAAACTTGGCACACAGAACTCCATGACCAACAGAAAATACTGGAAGGGTTTGGTGGGCATTGACCTTGAGTTTGGGAGTTGTAGTTCACCTACATCCAGAGAGCTCTGTGGACTCAAACAATGATGGATCTGGACCAAACTTGGCACAAGCACTCAATACGCCCAAATATGAACACAGATGGGGTTTGGGGGAAATAGACCTTGACATGTGGGAGTTGTAGTCACTGGGATTCACAGTTCACCTACAATCAAAGAGCATTCTGAACCCCACGAATGACAGAATGGGGCAAACTTCCCACACAGAACCCCCATGACCAACAGAAAATACTTAAGGCCATCCAATCCAACTCCCTTCATCAGGGCAAGAAAACGTAATCAAAGCCCTCCTGACAAAGAGCCATCCAGCCATAGATATAGGTAGGTAGGTAGGTAGGTAGATATGATTCACACACAGATATAGTATCATAGATTTGAAAGGGACCCTTAAAGAAGGACAATGATATCTTGCATGTTCCAGGGTGGGCAAACCAGACACTCTCCACATCAACACTGACAAAGAAACAGCAAGAAATACTGTTTGCCCACAAGCAGAAAGAAATTACATAGATTAGAAACCAACACTTTCTAATTACTTTATTTTCCAGATCAACAGACTGGACCACAGCAACGCATGGACAGCTAGTAAAGATAATAAATAAATAAACTGTAGTTTGGTGAGGCACCAGCACCCTTTGGCAGAAAAGGTTTAACACCATGTAAAGCTGCAATTCCCATAATTCCATAGTGTTGACCCATGGCAGTTAAAGTGATGTCAAACTGTATTAATTCTACAGTGTAGATGCACCCTGTGATATCTTTTATGGGCTGATTTAAGATTCCAAATTACAGCAGCAGGAAGTCTTTCCTGCCCTCACTGCCCCCAGGACACACTTATACACGGTAAGAGTTATTTCACTAAACCAAAGGTAGGCTTACTTCTTGGACTACAAGAATAAAGATAAAATCTTGCAGCAGCCACTTTTTTACTTTTTGTGATAGAGAAAACAGTAGGAAAAGCCTTATTACAACATGAGTCGGAATTCAAAGATAACATGTAGCATCTTTGAGACTAAGCATGAGTCATCCCCGAATCAGTAGCATCCACAAAATAGATTCTTGTTCTTTTCTGTTTTCGTTTTGCTTGTGCCCTGGAGTTAATTCCTCCCAGTACCTAGGGCAAGGTGGAAGTCATGCCACTTTATGATCTTATTAGCCAGCCTAGCCAATAGTGGACACATGGGAATGTTTTCCAGCTATGCCAGCAGTTACTATGCCATTCTTTAACATTAAATAACATGTTGGCCTAGCATTTAATTACAGCTTATCCCATTACAAGAGCACGGCAATTTTGCAGAACACTGGTCTATTGGAATGACTTTAGTCCAACCTGAAAATAACCAATCACTTTTCAACGTACGGACCGCCAGATGGTATGAGCAGACATTCAGAGTCCTTTGTCCTACTCAGCCCACCAAAGGTTTTCTCTAGTTGTGTCCATCTCTGGGTGGTGGTGGTGCTCATCTCAGTTTCTAAGCTGAAGAGCCAGAATTGTCCATAGGTGCATCCAAGGTCATGTGGCTGGCATGACTGCATGGATGTCGTTAGCTTCCCGCTGGAGCACTACCTATTGATCTACTCACATTTGCATGTTTTCGAACTGCTAGGTTGGCAGAAGCTGGGGCTAACAGCAGGAGCTTACCCCTCTCCCCCGGATTCAAACCACCAACCTTTCAGTCAACAAGTTCAGCAGCTCAGCACTTTAACCCGCTGTGTCACCAGGGGCTCATCAGCCAACTTACCACTTTTTCAATACAGTTTCAATATGCAGACCTATTTTCCACATTTGCTGCAAGCGCCATTCCCATCACAACTTAATTGGGTTCCATTGCACTCGGCCGAAGTGTAATATAACAATTTATAGTTCATGTAGTTAATGTGAGAAAGTCATGGTCTCCATTGTCACAAATATCTGGTGAGTCCATGTAACACTAACAGATGTAACACTAAATACACTTTTTTGGGGGAAGAATTTAATATTATTTGTCAAAGGAGCAAATAGAGTTGGCAGGATAACCAGGATCACAAGTGAATTTACTTTTCTGTTGCTAATGGGAGTTTAACATTTATTGGCTGCCTTTTATTGCCCTTTGTCTCTTGTCCCCACAGGGCCAAGAAAGGGAGCGGAGGGTCTGCCTGCATTGAGATCCTGAATTCAGACCATCTTAACTGATTGCAAAAATATCATCTGAGACAAAATGTGGGTCTGTGACTCTTAACACTTTTCTTTTCCTGTATGTTTTTTTCATACCTTTTCCTGAGGAAGAAGCCAGTGAAGCTTCGAAAGCTTGCATGATGTATTTTGTACATTTTGGTTGATCAATAAAGGCATTGGTATTTTGTGGGTTTTGTACTTCTTATATTTTGCGTATGGCTAACACAAAACAACTACCCTAATTCTGTTTCAAGACACACACAATTTATATTAAGACTATACCCATTATGAGTTGCTGTGGCCAAACGCCCCTCTCTCTTTCTCTCCTCCTTTCTTTCTCTCCTTCCTTCCCTTTTTTCTTTCCTTCTCTCCTTCCTTTTCTTCCTCTTCCCTCCCTCCCTCCCCTTTTTTGTTCCCTTCTCTATCTCCCCTTTCTTCCTTCTCTACCTATTCTTGGACTGCAACTCCCAGCAGTCCTGATCAATCTATCTACCTATCTATCTCTAGCTGTCTTATCTATCTGGATAACTGCTGGGAGTCGCAGTCCAGAAATAGGAAACTGGAAATATGCAGAGATTTGGATACTCTCAAAGAAATCCAAGGAGAAGAAAGCTTGCAGCTTGGAAACAGTGAATTTGGATCATCCTCCTCTCCTAAAGGGCCTGGTCTAGGGGAAGCTGGGAGCTGTAGTCCGAAAGAGAGTGTGTATATGCTTTTGCGCTGTAGCATCTTTTTGCTTTTTTTGGCTTTTTAAGTTTCTTCTGCTGTGTTTTTATAAGTGATGGTCACTCGTTGGCCTGATAGGTGTATTGTGTCCAAATTTTGTATCAATTCGTCCAGTGGTTTTTGAGTTATGTTAATCCCACAAATGAACATTACATTTTTATTTATATAGACTAGCTGTCCCCTGCCACACAATGCTGTGGCCCAGTCTGTGTATATGTGTTTTGTACGTTTGTGTTATGTGTATGTTTGTGTTATACACATATGTGTTATGTGTATATATGTGTGTATTTATTTGTGTATGTGTGTATATGTGGCTTTTAGAAAAAAAATAAAATCATGGTTTTGGGACTAGGCCTTAGGACAGTAGATGTATGAAGCATTTTAGAGGGACATTGACTGGAATGGCGATTTTACTGATTAGACTGTTTAATTGTTTTAATGCGTGTGGATGTATTGTTTTAGTTATGATTTATGTATATTTGTGCTTTTACTATTGTAATTGTTTGTACTGGCATCGTATCGGAACCCAATATAAGGCATTGAATTTTGACGTTATTGATGTGTAAACCGCTTTGAGTCCCCCCAGGGCTGAGAAATGCAGTATATAAATACTGTAAATAAATAAATAAATAAATAAATAAATAAATAAATAAACAAACAAGTGTTTGTGTATATATGTGGTTTTGTGCATGTGTATGTAATGTGTTTTTTGTTTTTTAAAGTCCCCTCTGCTGTGTTTTTCAGTGTTTTTATGAGTGATGGTCACTCGTTGGCCTGGTAGGTGTGTTGTGTCCAAATTTGGTGTAAATTCGTCCAGTGGATTTTGAGTTATGTTAATCCCACAAACGAACATTACATTTTTATTTATATAGATTGGAACACAACAAGAAATAGCTGGAGTTCCACAGGCAGGGTAATTGTGCTTTAGTTTTATAGTTACAGGGTGTGCTTGGATGTACACAAAATGCATTTTCAAGATCCTTTCAGTTTCATAATAATTTCTTATTAAGTACTTTTAATATAGTGTCTTGTGACACTTCCAAGATAACTTTTTTATTAGCACGAGATTCCATGGGTTTCAGCTTCATTCAATGTAAGTCAGAGGTCAGGCCTTGGGAAGGAGTCAGAACAGTCACCCAGGCGGATAGGAAGCATCCCTTTTCTTAGTGAAACGCAGTGAAAGTGAGAAGGGAACTAACTATACTGTTCTGTGTAATTAGATCAGGTAGTTTTTGTTCCATTTCCTTTCCTCTCCATTTTCAGCTTGGCGCAAATGCTTTTTGCTTCACCAAAACAATTGAGAAAATCTTGTAGCTGTTTCTTGGGTGCCTTTTTTACCTCCACCCTGTATTGCTCCTTCAAGAAATACCAGTTCGGCTTGGAGGCAAATGCTATAGCTTTCCCCATGAAGCAAAGACGAATGGTAGCAATTTCTTACATTGTCTCCTTTTTTTTTTTTTAGTTTCCCTGGTACAATGGCCTTGCCATTCCTTGGCACTAACGGAAGGATCAAGCAAAATTCCTCTCTTCCGTGGCCAAGTATGTTCTCTTCTATCTTTCAGTTCAACCAGAAATACATTCAACTCGCTGCTAAACCCAGTGGCAGCATTAAAGAAGGAAGTGGGATATTTCAGAATTTCACCCTCCTCATAGGAAACCTGCTACAAAACAGGAGCTTTTTTGTTGAGTTCCAGGGCCAAAGAAGTAGATGGCGGAAACAGAAGAATGGCCTGCCACAAATGACCAGCCACTGCCAGAAGGGACAGAGAGTTTCATCTATGCTGATGATCGTGCCATTACTACTCAAGTAGGGAGCTTTGAGATGGTAGAACAGAAGCTCTCCGAAGCTCTAGGTGCTCTTACTGCCTATTACAGAGAAAACCAGCTGATCCCCAACCCATCTAAAACACAGACATGTGCTTTTTATCTCAAGAACAGACAAGCATCCCGAGCTCTGAGGATCACCTGGGAAGGAATCCGACTGGAGCATTGCAACGCACCCAAATACCTGGGAGTCACTCTGGACCATGCTCTTACCTACAAGAAGCAATGCCTGAACAAGCAAAAAGAGGGTGCTAAAAACAATATCATACGAAAGCTGACTGGCACAACCTGGGGATCACAACCAGACACAGTGAAGACATCTGCCCTTGCGCTATGCTACTCTGCTGCTGAGTATGCATGCCCAGTGTGGAACGCATCTCACCACGCTAAAACAGTAGATGTGGCTCTTAATGAGACATGCCACATTATCACGGGGTGTCTGCGCCCTATACCACTGGAGAAATTACACTGTTTAGCCGGTATTGCACCACCTGACATCTGCCGGGAAGTAGCAGCCAATAGTGAAAGGACCAAGGCAGTGACATCTCCAGCTCATCCCCTCTTTGGATATCAGCCAGCATGTCAACGACTTAAATCAAGAAATATTTTTCTAAGATCTACAGAGACACTCTCTGGAACACCCCAGCAAGCGAGAGTCCAAAAGTGGCAGGCTCAAACCCAGAACCTCAATCAATGGCTGATACCAAATGAGAGACCCTCCCTGGGCACATAGAAAACTGGGCGACTTGGAAGGTGCTGAACACATTGCGCTCTGGCACCACGAGATGCAGAGCCAACCTTAGGAAGTGGGGCTACAAAGTGGAATCCACGACATGCGAGTGTGGAGAAGAGCAAACCACTGACCACCTGCTGCAATGCAACCTGAGCCCTGCTACATGCACAATGGAGGACCTTCTTGCGGCAACACCAGAGGCACTCCAAGTGGCCAGATACTGGTCAAAGGACATTTAATCAACTACCAAGCTTGCAAACTTTGTGTTTTGTCTGTTTGTTTGTTTGTTTTGTTAAAATGTAATACAAATGTCTGGTTGCTCCTGACATGATAAATAAATACCCTTAAGGCATCAGATACCTTCTGATCTTGGAAGCTAAGCAGGCGTTCGACCCTGGTTAATACTTGGGTGGGAGACTGCCAATGAATACAAGCACTGTAGATCATAATAAATTGTGGCAAGTTCTTGGTGGGATGGGCATCCCAAGCCACCTTGTCTCTCTCCTGAGGAATCTGTACAAGGACCAAGTAGCAACAGTAAGAACTGACCACGGAACAACAGACTGGTTCAAGATTGGGAAAGGCGTACGGCAAGGCTGCATACTCTCACCCAACCTTTTTAACTTGCATGCAGAACACATCATGCGATGTGCGGGGCTTGATGAATGCAAAGCTGGGGTGAAAATTGCTGGAAGAAACATTAACAACCTCAGATATGCAGATGACACCACTCTGATGGCCGAAAGCGAAGGAAGCTGAGGAGCCTTCTAATCAAGGTGAAAGAAGAAAGTGCAAAAGCTGGGTTGCAGCTAAACATAAAAAACCAAGATTATGGCAACAAGAATGATTGACAACTGGAAAATAGAGGGAGAAAATGTGGAGGCCGTGACAGACTTTGTATTGCTAGGTGCAAAGATTACTGCAGATGCAGACTGTGGCCAGGAAATCAGAAGACGCTTACTTCTTGGGAGGAGAGCAATGTCCAGTCTCGATAAAATAGTAAAGAGTAGAGACATCAGACTGGCAACAAAGATCCGCCTAGTCAAAGCCATGTTATTCCCTGTAGTAACCTACGGATGTGAAAGCTGGAAATGTGTCCAGAGGAGGGCAACTTAAATGATCAAGGGTCTGGAGAACAAGCCCTATGAGGAGCGGCTAAAGGAGCTGGGCATGTTTAGCCTGAAGAAGAGAAGGCTGAGAGGAGACATGATAGCCATGTATAAATATGTGAGAGGAAGCCACAGGAGGAGGGAGCAAGCTTGTTTTCTGCTTCCCTGGAGACTAGGACGCGGAACAATGGCTTCAAACTACAAGAGAGGAGATTCCATCTGAACATGAGGAAGAACTTCCTGACTGTGAGAGCCGTTCAGCAGTGGAACTCTCTGCCCCGGAGTGTGGTGGAGGCTCCTTCTTTGGAAGCTTTTAAACAGAGGCTGGATGGCCATCTGTCAGGGGTGATTTGAATGCAATATTCCTGCTTCTTGGCAGGGGGTTGGACTGAATGGCCCATGAGGTCTCTTCCAACTCTTTGATTCTATGATTCTATGACAAGTTTTAATTGTGCATAAGCTCTCCTGGCCACCTTCAAGACCTGGGGTTCCAGGCTCAGCGATGAGTCCAGGATCACTCCCAAGCTGCGAACCTGCGTCTTCAGGGGGAGTGTAAAGATGAGCTCAAAGCCAACCTTAAAAACTCTGGCATAGACACTGAGAACTGGGAAGCCCTGGCCTTTGAGCGCTCCAGCTGGAGGTCAGCTGTGACC